CTGGAATTTATATACACTCATAATTGTATTTGTTATTGAAAATTAAAAAAATAAATACTGATTAGTTATGCTATATATCTATTTTTAATTTTCTTCTACTATCAGGTAAACACAATTACGATCATGAATGTATAATCAATATTTAATGATTTCAATTAATCTTAAATTTTTACTTTTGAGATTGAATATCTTTATTTCTTTTCAGTAAAAATAGAGGGAGAAGACTTTCATCTACTTTGTATCATTTTGGTGATATGGCCGAGCAATTTAGGGTACTGAAAATCTTTTTTCTCTAATTCAAATTTGGTGTTGTCATAATTGAAATCAAAGTATATTATTTGAATGCTACTTTAGGTACTTGTGAAGAAATGAGTAAAATGATTATATTTGCTAAAGAATTAGGAGTTCTTATCATAGTGTATGTAACGACCCCATAAATTTAAAAGAAAATAAATTATAAATTTAGTGCGGAAGCGAAATAAATAGTTAAGGTCTACATTCCTTACACAATAACTGAAAGTACCAAATATGACTTACGGGAATAACTATTCTAAAAGAACAATTAATAATTAAGAAAATAATTTAAAAGTAAACGACTGAACGTCCTACTCGTAATCCTCTTGTGGATCGGGCTCTGGATCCTGGTTCTCTTGATCTGAAATGGTTAACGAAAGAATGAGCTACACTAACTCAATTAGAATATCACATTACTCACCGACACAGAAATTAAGGTTGGTAAAAATTATAAAAACAACTAATAGAGCTCTTAATTTAGCATAAATAAAATCATTTACCGTCTACTTATTGTAGTGAGATTTACAAAAAATAACCTATAAAGACAGTGATATAGCACCTATTATAATTTTATATGCAATTGGTTGGAACAACAATTTTCTCTTTTATCAGTTTACTAGTATCCATGGGGGTCAATAGGGATGTCCCCACAACGCGTGAACCCTTTTTCTTTAACATTTTCAATTAACGGGTCGTCCCCATACTTCGTCCGGTATGAACGTCAAATTACAAAACTTCGACACTCCGTCCAGTATGAGGGTGAAAGGGGTCGTCCCCATATCCCGTCCGGTATGAGCACCAAATTACCCAACCTTGATACCCCGTTCGGTATGAGGCAATGTTCACGGTAGGGTTCCCTATGTAACCGGTCCGTCCACCATCTCTCAGGATATCCAGTAAGGCTGCTGTTTTATCCATTCACTTAATCAAACAGTTTTCCGACTTCCTTTAATTTCCAGTTTCTCAATTCAACCATAATCACATGAAGCAAGTAATACATGCATTCAAACTATAAGATCAATCAATCAGGTATTATCATACATTCAAACTGTAAAATAACTCAACAGAATCAACAATGAATAATTTTCGGTTCTACCTCCATTAGTGACATGTAATTAATTATGGATATTTTCTAAATTATACAAAATATCACATTATTTATAATTAAACTTCAATTCCATAACAGAGAATGAAGTGATGGATTCTTACTCAAATTGATGCCCGAAATGCTAAACTTGTTGACTGCACCTACTAGTGGTCTCTGGGTTCCCTAAATTTTTCTTCGGGGATTAAAACGCACTTTAAGTACCTAAAAATATCTCAAAAAATTTAAAATCAATGTTAGAATAGCCCATTTCGAAATTTCGGCACAGCGACTCCGCCGTGTTCTGGCGATGGCACCACCACCTGTGGCGGTGATTTGCCTTGGATCGGCTATTTTTGGCCAAATTTGGCCAATTTTGTATCAATCCCTATGATAAAACACATTAAGGGGCCATGGTTGGCCCAAAAAAATCCAAAAATCGAAACTCACCAGCGGTGGGGTTCTCCGGTACGGCAGCTTCGCCGGCTCACCTTTGCAGTTGGGTGTTTTACTTCGGTCAACCTGTAGAGAAGGAAACGGTGATTACAATGGTGAAAGAATTACACAGAACGGAAATCAGGAAGGGCCTCATCGGAGGTGATTTTCGTAATTTTCTGCTGTGGCACTGACTGTCTTTGCCCGCAATTTTCAGCCAATCTGTCAGTCCTTTTGTTTCGATTTGGCTATATGAGTGTTTAAAATCGAATTTCGAGTAAATGGAAAAATTTTTACGTCTTTTGGGGGTCGGAAGTGGTTCCAGCGCAGCGGCGGCAGCGGTCGGTTTCCTTTTCGGCGGCTGGGTCTCCTACTCCGGTAGGGGGAGGGGTGGGGGTCTGACGGCTAGGGTTAGGGTTTAGTGTGAAGAGGGTTATTTATATCCGTATCCTTTTAATCTGGACCATTCATCACGTTTGATCTGAACCGTCTGATCACGATTAAATAAAGAGTGAATCTGGACCGTTTATTGCGATTTAATCTGAACTGTCCGATCGTGTTTAAATTAAAAGTGGATTTGAACCATTCATTGCATTTAAATCTGATCGTCTGATCATATATGGGGAGGAAACGGATCTGAATCGTCCGTGGGCGCGAAAACAAATCTGGACTGTCCAATCACGGGTACCCGGATCGCCCGCGTGGCCTCCCACGTAGCACCACATCAGCGTCCCTTGTCACACAGCGTGCTCTGGTTTGTTGGGGTTGCTGATTGGGCATCTTGTGTGGTACAATTTTTTAAAATTATATTTTGACATTCAGTTTTCGAATTTTCTTTTAAAAATACTCCCATAACCCAAATTTTTACCTATTTTTTTCAAAATTATTTTCAATTTCATCTTCCATTTAATTTTCTTCATTTTTGTATTAATTAATAATTAAAAAATTAAATTCTATAAATTAAATAAAAATTTAAA